AAAAAAAAAAGCATTGGGTACACTGAGAGGTGCCAAAAGGTTACCCTCTATTGTATCCTAGCATCCTAATACCCAGAAACACGATTCCTTCTTTCCATCCTTTGATGGAGATCAGTAATACAATTAGAAAGGGAGAATTGGACCCCATGACATCACAGAATAGAATGATTTTCCTCCTCCCATGGCTTTAGGGTTATAGATGGAATGGAATACACTGATTGGCATGTCTTTTCCCAATACAGCCTCGAGCCTCAGTATCCATAAACCCACCATTTGACTCTAAGAGTTTAGATTCAGATGGGTTGTAGCCAAGCCATACGAACACAAGACTAAGTGGAAGAAGTGATAAATGCTTAACCTAACGCTAACTTTAAGATAAAACTCACTTATAACAACAAACATTGGCCTCGAGTAACCAGCTCTCTTGTGAGGCTTGAGGATGACAAGACCTATGTTTTCAGGAATCATATACGCTTTTCTAGGGGGTTGATGTTTTGAGGGAGTCACTTTTAAAGGGGTGTTAGAGGCCTCCAACTTTATATCTATTATTCAGTGGGTCTTCTCCAAATATTTTTCTTGATCTCACTATCCTTGAAATCTCCTCCGAGGTGACCACAATGAGTGTACTAACTGTTGAAGGGAATATAGCTAGCCTATTCTGCATAGGCTTGTTAAAACTACTCTTAGAAGCACAAGACGATTTTGAATTTTGAAAGAAGCGAAAAAGATGAAAATGAGATTCAAAAAGAGACTTACCTAAAGAAGGGCTTATCTAGAATTGATACTCGCTCAAATTGGTAAATGTCATCCAAAATTTCAACTTTTTTCTCAAAAATTCAAATTAGTAGAGTACGGGTATGTTTTTTAATTTTTTGCAAAGTAAAAACATACAAGTGAAAAGGAGGCAACACAACTCAATTGTTGGATCAAAGCAAAAATGATTCCAAGTCATTAAAATGAAATGTCAAAGGCAATCAAAGGTTCAAATAAAGCAGTGCATCTCAAATACACATCTGGTCAAGTGGCCTCAAACTTGTACAACCGTATGTCATAGACATTTTATGACATATGAGAACGTGTCTTCAAAGCAGATAACACCTCAGTTGATTTTCTCGAAAACATGCAATAACTTTTAAATCATTAGCACGAATTCCAAAACTATCTTCTCAGCTCAAAGTTTCAAATCAACTCTCCTATAACGTTTCATTTTCAAGTTTTCTATCCTCTGCCTCACAACTTCATCATGTTTCATGTCTTCTAGTGCCCCATCCTTCGTGTTGGGCCTTCATCTTTGCAAAACCCCACTTGCATAGCTTTCATACAAGGTATCAGAATATCATTTCAACATTATGAATCTGTGAATTATAGAAATATCAATACATGGACTTGGGAAATACTCAAACACACAAATAAACAACAATTACCACGTCGAAGAAAGGTAAAACACTCCACACCAAAGCATCACTTTGACAATTATTCACCCCATTACTTTATATGTTCTGCTCAACCCAAAAGTCCACGAAAAATATAAATATTCATACCTGAACTTGGGAGTCTATTGTTATGCCTCTTCTTATGAGCCTCTAAACGACGGACATGTGATAGCCAGCTAGCAAGCTGAATCAAACCTACACTCCACATCACTCTCCTGCTTGGCCTAGTTGAAGCTATATATTGAGGTAGCTGAAGTGATGTATCATCTTCGTCTAGAGGTGTCATGTAGAGACTAACCTTCTACGGCCTAGGCACAATGCTACATCCACTGCATGGTAAATCCAAGACAATTAGCTTTTTAATGGAAGACATCTTCTACTTTACCTCTTCCAAAAGATCTTTCGTACAAGATCTTTCTATTATTGGTTGACATCTCTACAACAAACAACTAGTGGTTAACTTGTCATCTACTTTTCAAATACCAAACCTAAACTATAGGGTGACTACTTTTCAGAAATATTAAATGCCACTTAACCTAGGATTGATAGAGTGACTCTTAGGAGAAGACGTCTTGGTCATCAGGATGAGGCCACAAGTCTTTTCATTCGACGATAATCATTCTCTATTCTACTATAAAAGCTCACATTTATTGCCATTTGAAGGTAGTGCAATTTTACACACTCAAGTAACATTGCTCTCCTATATTTGTGTTCTCGTATACCCCTAGTGCTTGACCACTATTGTGTCACATCTTCTGCACATTCCCAAATATATCTATACATGAGCTTGAGTGTTGGAGGAAATCTTTATTCAAATAACGAAGATGTACAACCATATACAATCTTGGGAACATTGTGAATATCAATCAATTAGTTCCGCTGGTATACTTGTTTTTAAACACATGGACTCTTGAATGAGAAAACCTTTTTGAAATTTTGTATGCTCTGATAGTTGAGAATCCTGGAAAAACAAAGGTGACATGTTTATCATCGTCATCTTACAAAGGTGGCTAAATAGCAGCTGTATGTAATCCGTATTGGCATCAATCTTATGATGAAATGGAGACAAATAAAGATGCAAAGAATTGCATGAAGTCTCTGAATAATGCTTGACTTTTTGAACTGGTGTTGCGAATAAAATTTGGGATGATCTGAACGAAATTTACATTTGGGTAGAGGTATATGATCAGGGAAACCCCGAGGCATGACAAAGTAACTCCCGCTGTGATGCCAAAGAGCACTTGAAAGCTTCTTAATGTAACGCTGCTTGGTTTAATGGCAGTATCTGGTGCTTCACATTCTGGTTTAAAGTACTTTTCACCAATATCCGAAATATGACCATTTTCAGTCAATTGTATTATTGCACGAGAGACACCAGCAATTAATGGTGAGGCTTTAGGGAAAACCTGTTGATTTTAAGTAAATATGAGAATGAGTAACATAAACCAAAATGGTCGAGGAGTTTACTCGACCCACATAAGAGAAGAACAGTATGATAAAAGAAAAATACTTACGAAACCAAATCCATCTGTTCGATAGGTAGGGCCAGCTACCTTGTATTTCCCACAAAATTGGGACAAGAAAAGCATTATGTGAGGCATAACGTCAAAATAGGCTGATATACCTCCATGGCTACTCCCCTTTGATAAAGCTTCATGGCATTCCTCAGCGCATTTATATTTCCTGATTTTTGATTCTTCAAATCCTACATCTTTCAAGAAATCAACAAGAAAGGATCCGTGTTGACATCCGATGTTATCTACCCTCTTAATAAGTTCCTTCACATCTGCTACAGTTGGTTTAAGTCTATGCACAGTTAATCTCGACGATAAGCTAGCAGTATAAGTTGACATCAGCAAAAATGCAACAAATGCCCACGCCACCAAAATCAGACAAATTAAAGTGCCTTCAATTCCTTGTCCTACAGGTGGACAAAAGGTCCAGAAAGTTCATTTTATGAGCCAGAAATTGAAATGATACGCATATTCTGTTCAAACATAAGAGAAGATAGATTACCAGGAAATAAGGGAAAACAACAAATCATGCCAGCATGTTGACCGGCAGTACCCCTGGAACTGGTGGCAACCCTTTTCCCGAGGATCCAAATTGAAAGACCAGTAAAGATATAAAATGCCGCAGACACTATCCACAGTGCTTTAGTAAGGGGTTCTAAAAAAGTCCACTTATCATTTGGATCCTCAAACATAATTGGCACGACACTAGTAACTCCTCCTGCTGCAAATGGCAAACTGAAATCCACGTAAGTTGATCGGTTAGCAGTAATTGTTATATCTCCAAAAGCAGCATCGTAATTCTCCTATCGTGAAAGAAAAGAGAAACCAATATCAATTTAAAGGCATATTTTACTGATAAAAAGAGAACTGTGTTGTTATAAGAA